TATATATTTAGATGTCATTTACAGAAATGTTTACAAACTTTAAACAACTGCTTTCACAGAAGAAAATGTAAGGGACATATGTGACCCTGGACCACAAAACCAGTCATAAGTAGCACGGGTATATTTGTAGCAATAGCCCCCGCAATACATTGTATGGGTCAAAATGATTGATTTTTCTTTTATGCCAAAAATCATTAGGATATTAAGTAAAGATCATGTTCCATGAAGATATTTTGTAAATTTCCTACCGTAAATATATCAAAACTTAATTTTGATTAGTAATATGCATTACTAAGGACTTCATTTGAACAACTTTAAAGGCTATTTTCTCAATATTTAGATTTTTTTTGCATCCTCAGATTCCAGATTTTCAAATAGGCTAGTTGTATCTCAGCCAAATATTGTTCAATCCTAACAAACCATATATCATTGGAAAGCTTGATTTATTCAGCAATCTCAATAAATTTAAAAAAAAAAAGACCCTTATGACTGGTTTTGTGGTCCAGGGTCACATATTCTTTGCTGATATATGGGTAGGAACTGGGAAGATGCCCCTCTTAAAGGAACACTCCACTATTTTTGAAAATAGGCTCATTTTCCAACTCCCCTAGAGTTAAACAGTTGAGTTTTACCGTTTTCGAATCCATTCAGCCGATCTCCGGGTCTGGCGGTAGCACTTTTAGCTGTAGCTTAGCATAGATCATTGAATCTGATTAGACCGTTAGCACTTGGAATAATAACTCCATGAATTATATTAAGTATTAAAGCAATAGTTCACCTGTAATGAGTTTGTTTCTTCAACGAAACAGATTTAGAGAAATACATCACTTACTCAACAATGGACCCTCTGCAGAGAATGGATGTCATCAGAATGAGAGTCCAAACAGCTTCCTCCAGTGAAAACATCCATCCCCTGTTGCCCTCTCGCATCAAAATCCACTGACATATTTGGTTTTGGACTTGTTTGAGCTTAGAAACAATGCTTGACCTGTGCATATTTCTCTCCAGATTCAGACAAGATGACTTTTCACTTGTGAAAGCAATATTATGTAGGCTATCATGGAACGTTATTTTAGCTGGAAGCAATGGCCTGAAATGAAAAACACCTTACTGATGGTTTTGTTTCTTACAAACATGAAGCCTTTCACTTCACAAGATGTTAATTGATGGACTGGAGTCATGAAGATTGCTTGTGGATTATTGTGATGTTTTTATCAGCTCTTATTCTGACGGCACCCATTCACTGCAGAGGATCCATCGGCGAGCAAGTGATTTAATGCTAAATTTGACCACATCTATTCTGATGAAAAAACAAACACTACAAAATCTACATCCACGATGGCCTGAGGGTGAGTAGTACATTTTCAGCAAATGTTAATTTTGGGGTGAAATATCCCTTTAAATATAAAATATTAGCAAATGAAATGAACCTCAAAACTGTCTGCTTTGGCGTTCTAGCCCAAGGGCTTGAACCACAGACATCTTGCAAATAGCATAGTGTCTCAGAGCGAGAGAAGCAGAAGTGAGGGAGAGTGTATAAACATGGGAGTGAAAGACAAAGAGGCACACAGATGGGAGAGAGACAGAATGAGACGGAGGCATGAGTAAAGCGCATGTGAGTAGACGGGGCTTCGCACGTAGACGCGGTGGGAGCATGTGAATGGAGAATGAGGCGAGCCTGTGTCATATGCAGTGACGTAATAGTGCCCATCTAAAGCCCCGCCCCCTTCCTGCAGCCTCTCTCTCTTACAGAAATGCTGAATCAGTCAGAGTTGGATCGTGGATCTGTCTGACTGGGAGTTTCCTGGCTAGACCACACAAGGTACATTAAATAGTTGTGACAGACAGGCATATATAAGCACTTTAATAACACAACTTTACAGAAATGGCATAAAAGAACAGACTTTTGGCCATAAAATAGTTTAATATTGTGTATGAAGCTGATTGTCTCCTTGTGTAAAATTCAGTGAGTCAAAGAGGTTCCCATATCTGTCATAATCCCCTCTCTTCATGTAATCTGACTGTCTGGCTGAATTAACTTCCTGTGTGATCTACCCTGAAGAACACAAGCAGCTTTGTGAGCCACACCCAGACTCACAAGTTAAAGGGTGGTTTTACTCTGTACTGTTAACCAGTGTGGGGGGTAACGCATTACAAGTAACGCGAGTTACATAATCAGATTACTTTCCCCAAGTAACTAGTAAAGTAACGCATTACTTTTTAATTTACAAGAAAACATCTGTTACTTTTTCAAAAAAGTAACGCCAGTTACTTTGTTTTCCCATTTACATGCTGTTTGAACATGTTACTGTAGTTCTAGACTAAATGTGAATGTGCATTAATTCATACCACTCGCAAAAAAAACAGATTTAGTATTCATCAAAATGAATTAAAACAGTGAAATGCAAACTCAGAATATGACGCAAACCTGCAATAATTAAATATGTTAAATAACAAATGTATCTAATCCCATTTTATTAACCAATGTCTTTGCTGCTGACCTTTGATGATCCAGTTCAACCATACTAATAAGCAAAAATGACTTTAGAGAAACTAACAACTGTGCTTCATCGTTTTTTTATTGCTGAAGAGTGTTTCTTCTCCTGCGTTCTACTGTACAGACGTGAATTTACTTTTGCTTCAGCCTGAGGTTTATTCATTACACTTTTTGGTGTGAAAGGGCTTTTACATTTGCTATAAATAGAACTTCTTATATTAAAAACAATCAAGCCCTGCTCATATTTAAAATGTAATGCGAAAGTAACGCAAAAGTAACGTAACGCATTACTTTCCATACAAAGTAACTAAGTAACGTAATTAGTTACTTTTTTATGGAGTAACGCAATATTGTAATGCATTACTTTTAAAAGTAACTTTCCCCAACACTGCTGTTAACTGATTACCATCTTCCTGACTTCGCCTCAAGGAACAAAAGCTCGGTCGGTACACAACAGCACGGTAACGTTCTGGTCAAGTTCTGAAAAAGAGAACATTCAAGTTTGGAGTTTCCTGTGAAGTGAGAATTGTGTCGTATTAGAGTGTTTACTTGTGCGTGGTATTGTTAAATTGAGAGAGATTGTGTGAGATGACAGGCGGAACTCACTGGCCTTCACTGCATCTGTCATAATCTGGTTAGGCTTTGTGACAGGCCAGCCAAAAAAAAAAAAACTCACTAAAACTGAAAAGCTAAGTCTGCTACCTTAAAATTCTCGTCACTACTGATGGAGAATTTCAAGATGAAACTGGAAACATTATAAAATTGAGCAGAAATGACATATTTAGCATTTCATGATGTTAAACTTGAAACAACAGAACATAAGCCAATGGGGTAAGACGACAAACTTATTTCAAAGCGAAAAAAAGCTTGTTTTCCCCCTTATTTTAAGTATAAACATTTGATACAATTTTTCAGAAAACAAGATTTAATATAATGTCATTTTTCCTCACAAATGTTTTGATTTAAGAATGTTTAGATAGTTATACTGGAAAACAAGACAAAAATAGAGTAAGAAAATCACTTTTTGCAGTGAACATTTTTTACTAGCCATCAATATCCCTTTTCCATTTATTTGTAATTGTTGATGACATGTTTTGTAATATTTGCTATATTTTTATTCCTTAAAATATTTTTTAACTTGTCATTGACATTTACAGGATAATTTAAAATCAGGGATTCCTAAACTTTTTTTTTTTTTTTGGTCATCTGAACCCCTTTTAGCCGAAAATAGTTTCTTGAAGTAGGGAGATTTTAAGTAGCCTAAATATTTAAATAATTTAACCTTTCATTCATATATGTTCACGATTCTCTGATATCAGTTAGTGGTCACATGACATAGAGGTAAACATTTTTTTAATTAAATTTTTTTATTGCATTAATTATTAGTCAGTTTAAAGCTTTTCAACACACCCCAGTTTAGTAAACTCTGATATAAATTATTTAAAAACTACTTAAAAAAAAGAAAATTTTGAAAAATAAATACTAAGTACATTTCCTTCCCTTTTCCAAAACCTACATTTTTCTTGTTATGACCATGATGCCCATTCACGTTTCATTCCTCCCAGCGCAAGCTCCATAATTGCTTTAATACGAAACTCTTTCTTTAAGCTCCTCTGTCTCGTGGTTCTGAGCCTTGCCCTCTTCTCCTCAGCCAAACTCACGACTGAGAAGCCAATTTACAGCCTCTGACTGGCACAAGGATTAACGTGGGAAGAACACGCGGAACTCTGTGTGAGAACCCATCTGCTCCCCCGCTGAACAATTCCTACGTCCTGCCTTCAATTCAGCCCCAGGTCATTACTTTTACTCGTGAATACAAAGTTCTAAGCCACACTGTTTTCTTGTTCAGCTATGCCTCAGTACATCTCTTTGTAGCCTTGGTTAGCCCCTCCTCCTGACGCATGTCTACACACTGTGGCGTAGGCATCTGCCCTCAACATCTGTCACCACCTGTCACTGTGATGTCATCCACCCAGACCGGCTTAACGCCCAGCCCCCTCTGTACAGATACAGAGAGCGAGCCGCAGACGCCGACTAGTCAGAGCATGACAATAACACCCAATGACTGGACCAAAAGATTTTCCTTTAAGGGAACGAGATGTACTTTGAAGACAAGACAGGAAAAGTATATGTGAATATCCTGCGTGTTTGATGAGGGTTCACACCAGCTGTTGTCATTCCTTAGAGGGTGACCCGCACCTCTCTAGCTGTTACTAGGTCAGGCAGGATTGTCAAATCTGCTTTGGTTGGGAGTACAGAAGTGCTAAAGGTTGTCAGGACAGCTGTCGTGAAAACAGGATGTCTTTGCGTCAGCAGGCGGGACAGGTGTGCGCAACAAGCACCATCTTAAAAATCATTCGGCTGTCAGGGAATCTACAATTTGGGCCTTCTTCTGCGTGTTATTCAGTATAAAAACGCCTGGAAACTACTCACTTCAAAACCATTATCTGTATGATGTTCTGGAATTTCCCCCAAAATGACAACAGATCAACATGACTATATATTTTCTCTCTGTATATTTTTATTTACAATACTTTTTTTCTTTAATGCCAGGTAAAAGGATTAAATGCAATACATAAATATGAACATAGTAAGGTGTTTTTTTTTTCTCCATACAAATTTGCATACAACTAAAGGCTGAAATTAAACAGATACATCTCTCTCTTTTTTAAATTTTTTTAAGGAAACCTCACTCCCTACAGAAGAAAAGACGTTTATATACACAATACATGCACATGGACTCGCTCACATTAACATATGCTGACAAACACAAAAATGACAGGTGCATTGTAGGTGCATTTTAAAAAAAACAAGAAGTTTCACAGACTCAGGTCTGACTTTATGCGTACACTATTGCAGTGTTATGAATGTGCTGTCTAAGTAGAGTTAGCTCATCTCGCTTCGACAACAGGAAGAAGGTCTTGTGCGCAAATTTCCCCCATGCGCACAAATACGCTCACACGGAAACAGACCGTACCACCTTACAGTCTTATCAAAAAGTCACACGTAATTAACAAATACAAAACTCCCTGACATCTGACACTCTAAAACGCAGAATGAAGGTTATTGGTTTCAGAATGTGGGGAAGACTTCTGATGAATCTCAACCTTTCATTCAAAAACATGATGTCACAGTAGCAAGTTCACATTCTAAAATAATGCTAAATAAATGGTTTTAACGACTGGCCGGCCTCAAATTCCAACTGATTTGCTAGAACAGACTGTAATGACAAACTGAAAATTAACAGATCAATTCATGCTGCACACATCATCAGGTAGAGCTTTGACACACCTCTTAAAAATCCAGAGTCATAAGTCAAAGGCTGAACACTACTTACTCAGAAACTACACGGCCACGTTTTGGCACAGAGTATCTGCCACTCCCATTGCTTGAGGGCGGGAACAGGCAAATCAAAAAACAATAATAAAAGCTCAATTTCCTGAAAGGTGTCCTATGCTTTAGGAAACAAAAGAATATGCAAGAAGACCTAGCATAAAACACCACAGAGAGGAGAGGAAACAAAACAGAAAAAAATTAATACCTATTAGAAAACCAAAATCTGTCAAGATCGTTCATGCATGAGCCTCAGACGGTACAGTTCTCTCGTTTTCTTCTTAAGGTGATAGAAAAACAAGTCCGTTTTTCCAAGTCGTCCATTTTATCCACCAGTGTTCTCGGAGAAAGCTCGGAGAAAGAGGGTAAAGCTTATATTCTCTGGATCTTATCGGCCACCACTACGGGATTCTCCTTACGGATCTTAGAAGCGGCTTCCGCCTTGTAGTCGTACGTGCAGTTGTGCTTGTCTGAGTACCGGTGAATTCCACAGAACAGATTACCACATCGACAGTCGAAACCTGTAAAACCAAAGAAGACATAAGACCTCATGTACATATATCACACTAAATCAGAATGACCAATCAATGAGTCTCACCTGTTAGGCCAACCCTTTTACGGCAGGTAAAGCATCTATTTTTCTTCGGTTTGGAGGAATCTGGGCTCTTGCCCTCGTCGCTGCTCTGAGCCACAGGGATGGGGGAGTAGGAGGAGGTGGGCTGTGTTATGACTGTGGGAAGAATGGAGAGAGAAAAAAAATGTCAGAAATGAAACTGTTGCAATGTGGCATGGGTGGATTCTGAAAGCAGCCTGAGACCGATTTCTGAGTATGGTCGCAATTTTATAGGGCTGTATCCTAAAATAGGCTCTCCCACAAACCCCAAAGTCCCAGTTTCTGTCAGAACGAAGTTCTTAGCACTGCATGAACTTAAGACTGTCATTAGTAAACAGCTCACACTAAAACTGGAGCAGGCCCAAAGACTGCTCTGTTTGCAGTAAAGTCCATTTTAGTACAAAGAAGAACCGAGAAAACAGAGCTTAATGTCTGAAGGCCTAACTACCACAAACTTTACAGTGCTTCCTTTTACATTCACACTGTAGAGTTTTAAATAAACATTCCTTGCATACTTGAACAATGATAATAAGTAATAAAACAGATCTTGCTTTCATCTTGTGCGTCATCTTGCTCATCATCTTGCGCACTGCTGTAGCTGCAGACATTTGAATATACATTTAGACAGCACAGTTTTGGTTTATTGACATTTGACAGGCATTTTTGAAAGATTCCATCATACACATTATAAAATCCCCCCTGCAGTCAAGCAGCAAAATGGTGCACAAATATTGGTTGGCTGTTTGTTTGTTTAACAAAATTATTAAAGGGGTCCTATTATGCTTTTTCACTTTTTCAACTTTAGTTAGTCTGTAATGTTGCTGTTTGAGCATAAAAATGATCTGCAGAGTTACAAAGCTCAAAGTCCAATTCAAAAGGAGATATTTTGTTTAACAGAAATCACTTTTCAAAAACTACAACGAAGCTTTTCTTGAAACACCGGAGATCATTCAAACGTCAAGCAGCTGAACATAAAATGCATTCTTTCCCATTCTGAGGTTTAACAACAAACACACACGTGAAGTACTCACTCTCTCATGGTATCTGTGCTGGGTGCAGGTGAAGGCTCTGCTTTGTTTATGCTGGCTTCTAGTCTCTGTATGGCGGCGGCCTCTGCTGAGGGGCTGCCAGCTGGTCCAACAGAACACAAAGACACATATCACAAACAGTGCACAGGTGCAGCTGTGCTACACTATACAAAAGGCCTGTGAAACAAAACAAGTGCAGCTTATCATTTACAATTTCTCAGGGAAGACCCAACATTGTGCTAGAGACCAAGAAAAGGATTCAGTTCTAAAACAGCTTAGAATAACATGCTATCACTGAGTGCTGGTGTCAGAAATGCTTTACAAGCAGTAACCATGGTCTGTTATTGCAGTAGCAACTATAATATCACCGTCTCCAAGGTGCAATGAATGAGAGCCCTTATACCATAGTATAACTATAACCATAGAGAGCTCTATCTAGGAGGTTAGACAAACAGGTTAATGTTTCAGTGTGACTTACCCAGGGGGCTCATGGGACTACGATCACTGCTTTGCTGTCTGTTCAGGTGCTCCTTATAGCACACCGAGCACATACCATTGGTCCTGGGGTTGCCATAGAAACCACAGCCAGTGGTACACAGTATAGGCACGGGACTCTGGTTTGTCTCTTGGGCCATTGCTAATATATCACAAAAGAAAACGGAGACAGAACAAGAGTGGTCTTGTTAACAATGACAGCATTGTGTTTGGCTTACATGCACATGCAATGAGTAGAGGAGATCATTGTTTTAAAGGTGCACTCAGTAGTTAATGAGGTATAGATATTATAAGCTATTGGTATCAGATTGGCACTATTGTGGACAGATACTCAAGGCTGCAGTATCAGTATTGGACATGAAAAAGCAGTATTGAACTATTCCTAGTATGTACAGGTGCATCTCAATAAATTACAATGTCGTGGAAAAGTTCATTTATTTCAGTAATTCAACTCAAATTGTGAAACTCGTGTATTAAATAAATTCAATGCACACAGACTGAAGTAGTTTAAGTCTTTGGTTCTTTTAATTGTGATGATTTTGGCTCACATTTAACAAAAACCAATCAATTCACTATCTCAACAAATTAGAACACTTCATAAGACCAATAAAAAAAACATTGTTAGTGAATTGTTGGCCTTCTGGAAAAGTATGTTCATTTACTGTACATGTACTCAATACATGGTAGGGGCTCCTTTTGCTTTAATTACTGCCTCAACTCGGCATGGCATGGAGGTGATCAGTTTGTGGCACTGCTGACGTGGTATGGAAGCCCAGGTTTCTTTAACAGTGGCCTTCAGCTCATCTGCATTTTTTGGTCTCTTGTTTCTCATTTTCCTCTTGACAATACAAGATTCTCTCTGGGGTTCAGGTCTGGTGAGTTTGCTGGCCAGTCAAGCACACCAACACCATGGTCATTTAACCAACTTTTGGTGCTTTTGGCAGTGTGGGCAGGTGCCAAATCCTGCTGGAAAATGAAATCAGCATCTTCAAAAAGCTGGTCAGCAGAAGGAAGCATGAAGTGCTCCAAAATTTATTGGTAAACGGGTGCAGTGACGTTGGTTTTCAAAAAACACAATGGACCAACACCAGCAGATGACATTGCACCCCAAACCATCACAGACTGTGGAAACTTAACACTGGACTTCAAGCAACGTGGGCTATGAGCTTCTCCACCCTTCCTCCAGACTCTAGGACCTTGGTTTCCAAATGAAATACAAAACTTGCTCTCATCTGAAAAGAGGACTTTGGACCACTGGGCAACAGTCCAGTTCTTCTTCTCCTTAGCCCAGGTAAGACGCCTCTGACGTTGTCTGTGGTTCAGGAGTGGCTTAACAAGAGGAATACGACAACTGTAGCCAAATTCCTTGACACGTCTGTGTGTGGTGGCTCTTGATGCCTTAACCCCAGCCTCAGTCCATTCCTTGTGAAGTTCACTCAAATTCTTGAATCGATTTTGCTTGACAATCCTCATAAGGCTGCGGTTCTCTCGGTTGGTTGTGCATCTTTTTCTTCCACACTTTTTCCTTCCACTCAACTTTCTGTTAATATGCTTGGATACAGCACTCTGTGAACAGCCAGCTTCTTTGGCAATGTATGTTTGTGGCTTACCCTCCTTGTGAAGGGTGTCAATGATTGTATTCTGGACAACTGTCAGATCAGGAGTCTTCCCCATGATTGTGTAGCCTAGCGAATCAAACTGAGAGACCATTTTGAAGGCTCAGGAAACCTTTGCAGGTGTTTTGAGTTGATTAGCTGATTGGCATGTCAGCATATTCTAATTTGTTGAGATAGTGTATTGGTGGGTTTTTGTTAAATGTGAGCCAAAATCATCACAATTAAAAGAACCAAAGACTTAAACTACTTCAGTCTGTGTGCACTGAATTTATTTAATACACGAGTTTCACAATTTGAGTTGAATTACTGAAATAAATGAACTTTTCCACGACATTCTAATTTATTGAGATGCACCTGTATAATGTGTTCATTATTATATTCTTTAGTTAGCCCATTTTGTTTAGATGTATTTTTATGTTTATTTTTGGTAAATCACCGGCTAATGGTGCTATATAAAGTATAAATTTTTTTAAATTAACAAATCAAGTTCTATTACATTAAAATAGACAGTTGACAAAAAAACAAGTTGAAACTACTTAAAAAAAACAATACTAAAATACTAAATTAACACTCTGTAAAGAAATAAAGAATTCTTACTGTTTCTTAAAAACAAATGACATACTGTTATTACGCTGTATAGTCATGTGACCTCAATATGGCGGCACCCATGAGGGAGACCCGCTCCATGTAGAATAAAAGAGCTTTTTCTATAAAACTGACTTCATCTTATATAAACGTACATCATTGCAATGACATTTCACAAAACTGGGATTCATTTCATGTGTAAAATGTTTAATTAGCAAAAAGTTACCTTGTGCACCTTTAAAGCTCAAGGGTTTAAACTTTTAAAAAGTCTCTAAGCATGGATACACCGGAAACCGCGCTATAATTAAAAGACCTTGTTTTATCTCAGCCAAAAATAAGACACAAGCTCCTCAACCACCCTCATCAGGACAGAGTAATTACAGTCAAGTCAACCGATTGACCGGACTAACACCGAGTTCCGCCGTTTCTATTCCTAACCACATCCAAACTGAACTCGCTTCTAATCCGTCTATCTGTATCTGTAAATAAAATCTACACATTAAACAGCATGACACAAGCTCTCGAGTGGGTGTCAAGCGTGATATGCAATTTCAGGAGGCAATAAAGGTGAGACACTAAGCCTACATCTCTAGTCTGTCATTTTAAGCAAAAGAAGCACAAAAGCGGTTCACGTGTTCAACCATGCCAGTCAAGGCACAGACACCACGGATCAAAACCAAAACTAGTCGATGCTGGCGGTTAGCACAACTTCAAACCACCACTCTCAACCGAGAATTACAGGTCATTTATCCGTCTACATGACGGGACAGTCGTGTCCGGGATGTAAAAGAGTGGCTGTGTCTCAAAACCTCGCGAGCTTGCGGTCTAGACAGCATCATAAGCGCGTGGCTATCTAGGTAACGTTAGTCAGCTTACTTCTGTCCAATCTCACAGACGAATAAACTGGGTGGATTTGAGAGAACAGAATGAACCGGAACGGCGAGTAAACGCCAAAAATAGCAAGACGTAAAAAATCGTGACACATCCAAAGGCAAACATCGCGACTACAGAGCAGCACTGGCTTTGTTTAATCTTCCTTCTTTGTCCTTTTGCTCCAGGATTGCCTACCTAGACAGACAATCTGTCCTTTGAACAAGCATAAAACAAAAAGCTAACTGGCTTAGCCAGCTGTTTGTCTGAGTAACTAACGTTAGTAACATACAGCACAAAAACGCGAACAACTAAAGGAGACTTCCTTGAATTTATACACACAGGGTCGAACAATAAACAAGCCACAGCACAATGAAGATAATCCCTTGGGGTTGTGTATCAGTTTCAAAAGCAATTACTGAAAAAATAATAATTAAACAGGGAAATAAGAACAGACATCGCAAATCGATTTATAATTTTATGTAACATACAAGGTGAAGAAAAGTTGGCGACTGTCCGTATCTGTTTGTTTGTGGCCAGGCGAGTCACGTTCTGGGGCTTGTGATGTTCATGAAGGTGCTGCTGACAACTTGGGACACTTCGTTTTTTTAGAGACCCACCCTTCGAACAAAAAAAGCTCGATACCTCGAATAACCCTGGCGTTTATAGATCCGAGCTAGCGGTTTAACCCGGTGTGCTAACGTTACACGTCCTGAATCGGTAATCGTTAATCGCTCCCTTTTTCGGGGTCAGCCGGTCTTTTCGTGATCACATTGTTAAACCTTCGCGATTATCGCCTAAATAAAATTCATACAAACGTTTTAGCGCTTACCTTGAAGGCTTTTAAAACCTAACCGGTCGATGAACGTCGGTTAAGGAACAGGAACTGTTCGAAAAGGAGTTTGTCTTCCTCCCGAGGTTTTGTCGGTGATGTAAATAAGTAAATTCCTCCCCCGTTTTCTCCTGAGCTCTCCCTTCTTTCACTCTGTTTGTTTCCTTCTTTGGTAAAGGGGAGTGACTGATAGCGTCATCGCAAATAGGCAGGCATTCATTGGTCATTCGACGCTCGTGGGCGGGGCGTGGTAGTCAAAGAGGGGCACAATCCACTGTAAGGTTTGCCGTCTACACTGATGACGAAATCATACCTTCCTGATGGAAGTCTCCCAAGCCTGAAGACAACAACAAAGTCAACAACAAGCTCATAAAATGGGGTCTTGAACATTTAGTAGGTATTTATTGTGTTATATCGATGATATTTTCACTTTTACTAGGTACTTTCAACATTTACCAGTCATTAGTTTGTGTTAGGTTATCTGTCCCACTCTGTTGTATCACAGCTCTTTTTGTTATTGGCACTGCAGCTTTTGTCATGTGTTGACACTCTGATGCCATCTTTACACTGCAAAGGAAGCACAGGAACCGCTTCTGAAGTGGTGCATTACACAGACTATAATGTTGCACAGAGGTGTCAAAAATGCATTTGCATAGGAATTCCAATTGCAGAATATGAAAAATATAAATGTTGATAGATAAAAGGATTAATGGAAATATGAGTTAGAAATAGTTAAATATTTTCAACAACAAAGTTTGAGGCTTACGCAGAACGGCCTGTGTAAAAAGATGTCTTGCGTACATTGTCCACTGTAGAATTCTTGAGATATTTCCAAAAATTCATACATTTTCTCACCTCTGTGCCCATAAACGTTGACAGCTCTCATGTGTTTTTACACTATATGCATTACTTAGTGTCAGTCAGCAAACTCTCACATGAACTGTACAAACCCACGAGCCTTAAAGCTGATCCTTTCAGTAACCCGACTCAGTGTATCCTGAGGGTGGCTTCGCACATAAGCAAAGGAAGAAGCCGCCTGGTTGTTTCTGAGAAGAAGTTTGAAGTGGAGGAGGGGGACGAGTTTAAAAACTGCTAATTTAGGGAAAATAAACCTGTCTGAACTAGTTTGAGTTTGGTTAGTCACACTGTATGTGCTGTTTGCATGCATGTGTTGTGTGTGCAAACATGCTGTACAAGAGAATGGCTTAAGTTTTATTGCATGTTTTACCTTTAATCTGATGTTTTTGGTGTGCCATTGCTTAAGTAGAGATCCCAGCCCATGTCAAAGGTGAGAACAAGGCAAACAAGCACCGTGTGATTTTTGCATTTTTATTACAATGCATAGATAAGAGTAGGTCACCCTATTCAGACCAAAGTAAATGTGTGCAAAAGATGTTGCCTTATCTGCATGCGTTCTTGAGCATACAGAACTTCATTGCATTTACATTATGCATTATGAAGCTTTCAAATATCCATTTTGTGTATATGTAATAATATGTTTTCCTTATATACATACATCTGCTCTTTATGGATCAGTTAAGTCCAGAAGTAGTTTTGCATGTGATTTGGATACCATTCTTGCTTTTTGGAAATGGATGCATTTTTTTTTCATCATTCTTAAAACATGGTTGACAAATAGATATTATATAATTAAACCAGGACCGTCGTGTATAGTAAGGTGGATTTCCTTCCTTACATTTATGCTTTCACAAGCTCCCAGTGTACTTAATACAGAGTTGAAACGCAAAAATCATTATTGTTTTATTTATTTTTTAGTGTTGTAGTGTGTTTTGGTAATTGTAAGTATGCTCCTGTGCCATAAAGTGTTTGATAGAACATACAGTTGTAATAGAGTATCAGCTGCCGGTGCCATTGTCTCACGTGTGTTGACCCATAACAGCATCAGAAGCACATAAACACTAACACGCAAGTGAGTTTTCACCTTACGACAGTGATGAGCCAATGAGCTTACATTGTTTTATCTCCACAGAAACATCCATACACAAATACTCCGCTTATTTTTCATGAGGTGACATGAATGAAACCTATTAGACTAGGCAATGCAGTCATTTGTTAATCAAAATGCTTTATTATGGAATGACAGAAAACCATCAGTGAGGCAGCTAACTAAAAACAAACAAACATGTATGTTACTGAAAATAAATGTAAAATACAATATTTTTTCAGCTGCTAGTTCAACATTTCCCATTTTCATTTAGTTTAACTTGATACTAAAATAACTAAAACTAAAGAAAAAAAAAGACAAACTTTTACAAATTAATTAAAAAATATATAAAACTAACTAATTAAATAAATATTGGCATTAATATCAGTGTTAGTCAAAACTAACATTGATATTTTAAAACAACACTGCAGTGAGGTAATACCAGTACCAGTGTGGTAATATCACATTGCTAGTATTCTAGAGTGATGGAATGTATTTAAATCCATAAGATGTGCTTTTGAAACCAGTCTTGATTCATCTGTCAGCTATCCCTCTTTATTTTGACAGCTTCTTCCTGCCCTTGTAGTTGTTTCAATATGCTTTCACTTTCTGTCAGTGCCCTCCCTCTCTACCTCAGCCTACCCTCTTCCTTAAGGGAAATTTTGTTAATTTGCTCAAAAGTACCCAGTATTCTGGCAGTTTTTCATAGTATCAGTGTTTTCATTCTGCTTTTACATAAAAGAGGTCCTGCTTGTAGCTGTCGACATTTCCAAATATGGCTTTAGCAATTACATCTATGCATTTTCCACTTTGGCAAAATGTTTTTATTGGTCAAAGGCTACTGAATCCTGTTATAATTATGAACTCTACAGCTTTATTCATGTCTTGATTTTGTTTAAAATAATTTAGAACCAAGTTTAATAACAAAACAAATTTGTTGAATGAACAAACATTCAGATGAAAATTGGCTGAGCGTGCAGTATAATCCAGTCAGCAGGCGTGAGTGTGAAAATATTTAGTCCTTTATCACCAATGAGATGTAAACAAACAAACCATGCAGCACTAGTAAATCCAGATTTAATCACAGGCTCAGTACTAAAATGTCCTTGTCACAAGTGTTTTGTTCCCGCTATGGGCACATGGATATAGAAGAGTGCAAAATAGAAATGAATCATGCTAAAATACTTTCCAGACAAACCACTCTTTTCTTTTCCTGCACAGGCAGTACCGAGAATACGGGCTGAATGAAAACGTGAGAGTAACAGGGCACCAGCCCTTCTATAAATATAAACCTCCATCCACCCAGAGTGTATTAAATATCCTGACTATAGGATTCTTTAGAGGAATGGAATGCAGGTCATTGGCTCACATGATTACCTGAAGGCGGTTTAGTCTGATGACAACGGTAAAGATGAGACACTGTTAGACTGACTCAGATGTTTTTTTTTACATTTCCCATTTTCATTTAGTTTAACTTGATACTAAAATAACTAAAACTAAAGAAAAAAAAAGACAAACTTTTACAAATTAAAATGAAAATATATAAAACTAACTAATTAAATAAATATTGGCATTAATATCAGTGTTAGTCAAAACTAACATTGATATTTTAAAACAACACTGCAGTGAGGTAATACCAGTACCAGTGTGGTAATATCACATTGCTAGTATTCTAGAGTGATGGAATGTATTTAAATCCATAAGATGTGCTTTTGAAACCAGTCTTGATTCATCTGTCAGCTATCCCTCTTTATTTTGACAGCTTCTTCCTGCCCTTGTCTATTGAAACTAAATAGCTCTTTATGTTGTCATTATATGTATACTGTACATGTAGTGTAAATTTGATTGTAACGGTCAGGAATGTTTGATTCTACAGTTCTGATACTGTTAACATATCTGAAAAACCTTTTTCTTCAAGACTTGAGTGGGAAAAAATAGCAACCTCTATGGAACATTTTGTGTTTCTTTGATCAAAGGTGTGCCAGTGGCTGAGAGAATGAGGGAGAGAGAAGAAGACATGCTCAGAATACAGTTACGGCCTGTGTCAGTTCTCCGAAGATGGAATCCCCAAACGGTGCTGCTAAACTTAGCCGAGGAAAACAATCTAGCTCTCTGCAGGGCGAAGAACACAAGTACAGAAATAGACACTCAAGCTCATGGGATCACACACACACACACACACACACACACTCACAGAGACATTGACACAGTATGCACAAATACACTGTATGAATACAAATACCTGCTGACTGGGAGGGTAATGTGCACAAAAAATGGGTCAAACATTGAAAATGCAATGTAGCCTGACATCATCTGAATGAATCTAGATTTCTCATTCATTTCAACAGACAGCCTCAAAGGTTTATCTTTAGTGACATCAGGTGGTCAGGATGTGTAACAACAATGAAGGAATCCACAAATACTGTTTGTGTTGTTGGATTCAATGCTGTCACATGCATTGAGCATCTACCTTACATTTAGCTCTCTGCAGGGCGAAGAACACAAGTACAGAGATAGACACTCAAGCTCATGGGATCACACACACACACACACACTCACAGAGACATTGACACAGTATGCACAAATACACTGTATGAATACAAATACCTGCTGACTGGGAGGGTAATGTGCACAAAAAATGGGTCAAACATTGAAAATGCAATGTAGCCTGACATCATCTGAATTCCCCTAGATTTCTCATTCATTTCAACAGACAGCCTCAAAGGTTTATCTTTAGTGACATCAGGTGGTCAGGATGTGTAACAACAATGAAGGAATCCACAAATACTGTTTGTGTTGTTGGATTCAATGCTGTCACATGCATTGAGCATCTACCTTACATTAATTTCAAAAGGAAATAGGAGAAATCCCTGGAGCAAGCTGAGGTTAAATGCCTATTTTAAGGATGTAATAATAACAAGCTCAGTTACTGTATAATTTAATGGATGATTGACTCTAGGGAATAGTATTAAAGTCTCAAAGCCTGACCCACAAGGGTCACCACTAACTTTTGGTCTCAGTAACATTTTTGGTATTTTGGCATTTTCTTTATATTCACATTAACCTATTTGGCATACACTTTTATCCAAAGTGACATATTGCATTCAAGTTTTTTTTTTCTTTTTTCAATCATGCATTCCTTAGGAATCAAACCCATGACCCTGACGTTGCTAGCACCATGCTCTACGATTATCTTATTCCTATTATGAAATATTG